TTGTGTTTTAATTCAGGAGGTTATGACTTCCCAGCCAGTTATGAATTTAGAATTGTTCGAATATTTCGTACTTACGAAACTCTAATAAATAATCCAAACTTTTCTTAACAATGCAAGATTGTAGCCCGCAAATTTCTGATTAAAATGAGACATCCGTGAGCAGTACATGTCCTTTCGTTGCAAAGTTATAGAATTTATAAGAAAAGCCCTAAATTGTTCTTTGTCAGCTCAAAGCTACGGAAATAATTAATTTAGGGTTTTTATTATAAATTCTACAACTTTGGAAAGAAAGGTCCATGTAATGCAGGCGGATGTCTCATTTTAATCAGAAATTTGAGGGTTACAATCCTGTATTGTTAAGAAAGGTTTGCATTATTTTTTAGAGCTTCTGAAAAGCTGGTTTTCTATAAGACCGGATTTTCGAAAGGCTATGGGCAATCTCCACGATCATATTCGGGATCAGCATCGTAGATAACCTATAACCCACTACGTTTCGATCAAAAAGAGATTTATCACTTCGCGAGATTTCCTCATAAGTAAGCTATTGTCTTCTCCTATCCATCCGCAATCTTTATTCATATGTGCTGTGGACGTATATATTCAGTGCTGGCACATTAAACATATATACTACTTCGTTTACCGAAAACGGACATTGCAAAGAATGATATGTTTGATGAATGCTGTAGAAATTATAAGAATAAGAATACTCAATTACAAAAGATACATGATTTCTATAATAATTATCGACCATATTTAGCAATTAAATGACATACAAGAGATTCGTTTCTCTATCGTTTATCGAATAAAGGATTTCGAACACACGACATTGATATTATTTTCAATATCGTTTTTTCATAACAGATTTATATAAACAATTATATGAATTATATTCTGAGATCAAATCAAAAGGTACTAATGACGGTATTATTACTGTTTTTTGTGCTCAGAGTATGCACGTCAAAGAGTTACAACGGCTAAATCTAGTTTACTTTGGTATATTAAGTTGGAAATGACTGATGCATTCATTGCATGAAAAGTTATTAGAATTAATTGCATCTTTCAAAACTTTTATAGGACCACAGCCTACATTTCTAACATTGGGACTGATTTTAGTAAAAATGGGCGAATATAAAATAGCCGAAAAATATTATAAACATCTTATAGACGAATTATCATCCGATCATCGCGATCTCGCAATGATTTATAATAATATGGGTGAAATGTTTCCATTACAAGGTGATGATAAAGCAGCTGAGTCTCAGTGAGAAAAGAATCGCACTTCTCGACTCGTCTCAATGCAAAAGTCCCTAGTATTCACAAGGCACGCAGATGAACCACAATAGAGTGAGATTCTAGTAACTACTAAAGGAATCCAACAAGCCAAAAATTTTGATATGCGAATAGCTTCTTTCCGTAGTAAGACTATCATTTGAGTCTTTGTCTACAGTTTTCATTTTAAGAACTGTTCGATACGTAAATATATTGTAGAGAACCAGTTTTATATTTGTCACATAAAAACGTTCTATATTTACCATCGGTTGTCTGTGGGCGTCTCTGTGCTGTTTGTGTACATTTTGTTTCTTGATCATTTAAAATCAGAGTGAGGCCAATATGTTTGATCTCGAACAGTTATTGAATAATTGATTTCAAAGTGACGGAAACACTGGGTTTCGACAGACCAATACTGAACTGTCAAAAGTAACATGTTTGGAAAATTATATCGATACTAAGGAGGTAGCTCGACT